ACAGTCCACCTGCGGTATAGGTGAATTGAATCAACTAAATTGGCCATAGTAGTGCGTGTTGGAATGTGTGTATGGATGTTTTCCAGTGTTAGGCTGCAGCTGGAAAGGCATTTACTGTGTAAAACATATGCTGGACAAGTTGGCAGTTCATTCTGCTGTGGCGACCCCTGATAAATAAAGCGACTAAAACGAAGGAAAATGATTGAATAAAAAGTAAAGACAGTGATGTTGCTCAAGAGGGCGCTAAAGAGTGGTCTCAGACCAATGACTGTAAAAAAATATGGACGACGCGACAGCCCTTTTTCCCATTGAACGCCTTGAGGGCAAAACGCCTGCTTGACGGGCACAAACTGTCGCAAAAGACTGCTGAAATTGGAGCCAGACATGCGCAGAAGGATTGTCTGATGGAGCCAGAGGAGGAGCCGCGAAAATGAGCAGAGTCGAGCTTCCAATCAAACGCTTTATGTAAAATCAACTACGCCCCCCGAACTTCTCAGCATGCGTTTGCTGTCATATCAACACAAATGGATGTAATAACGTTAACAAATATGAGGGTTTTATATATTCAATCGCGCCAGCTCCAGGCCGCAGCGCATAACTTACTCGCGGCGGTGATTCTGGCTCGCATGCGGCAGCGCCTGCTCGCTCGGCCGCCGCATCTGGCTCGATTGACTCGGGCTGGAATTGGGTAGTGAGTCCAGGCATCCGGAGTAGGTCCAGCAGAGGTAACATTAGTCAGTCTGAGCTCTAAGAGATAAGTCTCCGGCAGGCGAGAATCTAGCCGGAACTGTGTTTTGCTATCTGGGTGGCTAGGCGTGTATCAGCAAACTAATAAAGCCCGAAAAAAGCCCTGAACTTAGCGAATAAACAGTGTTCCACCAGGATCATGTATGTCAGAAACTATAGTTTACTGCTGAACTCATTTTGTCATGGTAAAATAACACAGAAATCGAATAATAACATTTCAGTCTACTTCAGTCTCCTGCCGAAGCTCAGACGCCGCGCTTTGAGAAACTGTCAATCACGATGACACGCCCAGCATTAAATTACTGCTAAAAACAAACTGTTTACAAAAATGAAGATCTGCACCTATTTCAGCACAATAACCAGTGCCTTAATCGACCAGAACTATCTTTCGGGACATTTTATTGCAAGTGTAATATTTTTTTTTATTTGGGCTCAAGTCTCCTTCATTAACACGGAGGAGGCGGGCTTTATGACTTGTACTGCAGCCAGTCCCCAGGGGGCGATCTAACGGCCGAAACCTTCACTCAAACGTAGGCTTGCGGCACACTTGTCTCAGACACTTTAGCTGCGTCCCAAATGGCACACTATACACTATGCACTCATGCACTATGTACTTATGCACTTACACACTCAACAGGATAGTATATGCATGTAGTGTCGTCCCAAATGGCACACTAATGTTTTTTTACTAAGCGGAAATTCAAACCGTTTCCCTGATGACGTTTGACGGACGCCAAATCAGTGAAATAAACGACCGAATTATCAAATATTACCTGCCGTGAGTGTTGCCGCATTCACCATCGGGAGGCGCTATAATCACTCTCGTAGAAGAATTTTGTTTTCACCATCCAAAATAAATTTAAAGATAACTTTTTTATAAAGTTATCCAACATGTGCGTCCGATAGCTCCGCCTCTTCTGCTACGTAGGCAAACCTGCGGTCGTTGAGTGCGTGAAGTGTCCATCATTACACACTTCATTTTAGCGGCTGAATGAGTGCATCATCCGGGAAATTAAAGTGCACTTATTATTTTTAGAGTTTTCAGTGTGAACACACTACTTACACTATTTATACTACAAAATGGCGTAGAATAGTGCATAAGTATGCGATTTGGGACGCAGCTTCTTAGACAGCCTGCTCTCTTCAGACGCTCATCCTGGACTTCTCGTTTTATCTTACCTGCACATGTTGTGTTCTTCGTCTTCTTCTTTTTCTTCTTCGTTTTATTTTCTCCAGCTGGCTTAAATTTAATCCATTACTCAATATAAAACCGACGCCGTATAGGCTAGGCCAGAAACACAATGTAGTAGACTTTTTGTAGGTATTTTTGTTGTTGCTATACGTTTTGTGAGAACAAACAATCACTAAAGACAGAAACTTGATCTTATGTTTTCAAGAAGTGTTCAGGCTAGATTTTTTAGATAGAGAGATTAATTATATTAACTTCTTGCCACTTAGCAACACTGAACACTTGATAAATATATGCACATGCTTTATTAGGCCTATAGTATAATGAATTTTCCAGAATGTGACAGGTTTGTACAAATAAATAGATGATCATGTAGGATGCTGCTATTATTGCTTAATTTTCATACACAATCATATTGAGCTTTTGGGCTATAAAGTAAAAATGAAATCAAAACTATGATTTTGTTAGCTCAAATTGGCTAGTTGTACAAGATGGCTCCGGTGAGCTTCCGAGACACATGTGTGTGTTTACTTCCGGTCGTATAGAACTACGAAGGAAAGATTTTGCATTTTTGATAACAAAACGGAGCATGTTTAAAATAAAATAAAAAAACTAAGTAGTTTATGGATCAGCGACAGGAGTAAACATCCTCACTACTGCATACCACAGTGCATTCTTTCCCTGTTGATGCTAAAGTTCGTGCTCAGTGCTTGCAAAAAAAAAAAAAATTAAAATGTTTAGCCTTTATAATCTTTAACTGAAATCAGAAAATGCACTTCTTTTTTCTTTCAGTTTTTCAGATTACGACTGTCTGAGGTATTGGGCGTGATTAACATACTAAACATGCCTCTCCAACAGTCAGTTGACAACAATCAGAAACGGTGAGGTGTCTATTAAGTTTTAATAACTCTTCTAAAACTCCTTTCTCAACCTTTTTGAATAAAAAGCCTACTTTTGTAACCACGGGGAGTAACACCACAACAGAAGGTAGGATCCAATATGCAGGTTTATTCACAGTCAGGCAAGCGATGGTCAACACAGGTGCAAACAGGTATTTGGAGACAGTCCAGAATCACAGTGGAATACAGGCTAGAGGTCAGAAAGGCAGGCGGCAGGCAAAGACAAAGAGGCTAACAAGGCTAACGGTCGGTACACAAGATAACAAGACAGGGAAACCGCGTTGTAATGTCACCTTACAGATAAACAAGACTCGGCAAACTGAAGAAGTGAATGTGTGGCTAAATAGTGTGTGTTAATCAGTCTCTGAAAGTCCTCAGGTGTGAATGTAAATCAAGCTAAAGAGAAAAGAGAAAGCAGGTGTGTGGGCGAAGAGCATGTATAAAGTTGAAGTCCATTAACTGGCAGATTTGTAGTTTCATGAGTGAGTGTTTACCAGCGACATCTGGTGGTTTGTTCACTGGTAAACATGACAACTTTACATCCAACAAGCCATTCTCACTGATTTCTCATTTAATAATCTGTATCTCTATGAACTGCTTCACATTTAAATAATGGTTGCAGCTTTTAGTACACGTGGACGTTAAGCTTCAAAGAGAATGCGAAGCAGTTGGTGTTTTAAGGGCCAAATATATAAGCACATAATTGCACAGAAACAAAGACAGCTTCATTTAGGCCTACGCTTGAAAAACTACACCAAGTAATCCTCAGTAATGGGCTTGTTGGCTAGCTTTGTTAATCGTGTTTCTTTGTTTGTTTTGTTACTTTTCAGGCTGTGTGTTGCTATTTGTCATGGGAACAGGTGAATCAAAAGTGTTTAGATTTGGTTGTTAGTAGTTTCCAATAGTAGTGTTCAGTAGTTTCCAATAAACACACCAAAGGCATTGGTGCTTTTGTTCTCAAAGTTGATGGAGTGTAGCCTATGTTGAGTATGCGTACAGGTACAGTTGAAGTCAGAATTATTAGCTCCCTGTCTATTTTTTCCCCTAATTTCTGTTTAATAGAGAGAAGATTTTTTTCAACACAGTTGTAAACATAATAACTTCTAATAACTGATTTATTTTATCTTTGCCATGATGACAATAAATAATATTTTACTAGATATTTTTCAAGACACTTCTAGACAGCTTAAAGTGGCACTTAAAGGTTTAACTAGGTTATAGGTTAACTGGGCAGGTTAGTGTAATAAGGCAAGTTATTGTAAAACAATGGTTTGTTCTGTAGACTTGGAAACAAAAACAGCTTAAGGGGCTAATCATTTTGTCCTTAAAATGGTGTTTAAAAAATTAAAAACTGCTTTTAGTCTAAATAAAACAAATAAGACTTTCTCCAGAAGAAAAAATATTATCAGACATACTGTGAACTTTTTCTGAATCTGTTAAACATCATTTGGGAAATATTTAAAAAAAGAAAATCAAAAGGGGGCTAATAATTCTGACCTTAACTGTACATGTGTTCTCACCAGCATCAGCTATACAAAAAGCTTGGTCCCCAGTAGTATCTGAATACAGACTTGCATATATAAGCCGACATTGCACTTTAAAGAGATTCATGACAATGTAGAATATAAAAAGTCATTGGTTTATAAAAAAGTGAAATACATTAAAAATGCTTCATTATTTTTTACAAATTTAAGTGCATTGAACATAACGCAATTAAGTTGTGCCAAAAATTAAGAATTGTGTTGTTTCAGCTCATTTTTCATTAAATCAATTAATTAAATGTATCAGCTCCATCTTAACTGCGTATTTTTGTTAGATAGAGAGGGAAATACTTTGAGATGTTATGGTGAACACTTGGTAATGGTATTACAGTTTAAGATCCGCCAAGGACTTTTTTTTTTATCATGTCCTGAAATGGATGGTCCTAACTCTTGTTTTTATTTTTTTTATTGTTTTATAAATTTCATAGCTGCCCTTATTTTTACTTGGTCCAATCATTTGGGCTGGGTATCTGCGGCAGCTCAAAAAGCTTGTGTCTACGTATAGCCTACATTACATGCCATCATGATATAGCCTATTGTGTTAAAGCAGAAGAATATATTGGGAATTAGATAGGGGATAGGTGAGAGTTTATAAAGTAAACACATGAAAATTTGGATCATACACATGAATTTATTTATTCTGCAAGGAAAACACCAAGCAAATTGCATATTACACATGCATTTAATATATATGTATACATACAACTACATTGTAAACCAACACCATTTAAATTTAATATGAATACATGCAAATGTTACTGATTTTTAAAAAAATATATGTGGTTAATAGGTTTAAAAAGCTACTTCACAATCTCTTAAAAAACAAACACAAACTAAACCATGAGACAACTTTTCCTAAATTGTATTATACTGTTATTTAACATCTATTGATTATGAAAACCCTCCATGAATTATAAATTTGTACAAGACCAGAAATACGTAAAAGAGCTTTTAAAATTTTCAAAAAGTACATATTTCTTGTACCTTCATTTACTCAGAAATAAAGGTACATACCTTTTCAAAAAGAACATATTTCTCATATCGCTCAGAGATAAGGAAATGAGAGCTGTCATTGGGGCAGTACCTTTTCAAAAGGTACGTTGAGTCCATACTGATAAGCTAAATCAGTACCTAAAATCTAATGTCTACTAATATGTAACCAAATATTGGGCAAACATACCTTTTGAAAAAGTACCATCACAGTGACGGCTTGCATAACTTTATTTCTGAGAGTGTAACAAAATCTGAGAAACATTCTGCTAATTAAAATACCATTCATATAGATCATGAGCCTCTTTATAATGCCTGTGTCGTGCTATATAGTCACAGGCAGTGCAGATAGGCAGAATAAACTCTTGTGTTTTCTGAATCAAATGAGGGGTTGGAGAGAGATGTTTCCTCCAATTGAAGAACCTGCGATAGGCAGTTTCATCCTTGTCCAGCTGAAGCAGATATTCTGCTAGTGTCTTTGCATCGGGGAAGTCGTTGACATGAATGAAGGACTCAGCAGGAACGAAGGCTTCATAGTTTTTTCTTGGAGGACCCAAAACCACAGGAACGGTGCCTACAGCAAGCGGCCCATTTAACTTCTCCGTGATGTAGTCCTTGTGGATGGAGTTCTCAAAGGAAAGGTAAAACTTGCAGCTCGCTAAGGTTGGATAGTACTCGTTATAATCAAGAAACTTTGCGTAAGCCTTTCCGAACAGATGCACTTTGATGTGCTTGCTGAATTCTTTGTAAAACTCGTTCCTTGTGCCGACTCCTGTCCAGGCAGCATTGTTGCTTACGATCCAACACACCAGTTTGTCTTTTTTGGGAATTACAAACTGCTCATCTGCTTTTTTTCTGGTGTTCAAGCGCAGCCGGACAGTAATATCAGCATCCTGTCTGTAGCTGAGAGTAAGATTGAACAGGTTTTCCAGGCCTGGTATTTTTATGGTGTTGGTCGGTGATTCAACATGAAACCAAATCCACCTCTGGAACAGAGGACGAGGAGACCGAGGAAGGTTGGACAGGTCCCGACTGATGGCTTTGTGAAAAATAAGGACAGCATCTGAACTGTCGTAGAGTGATCTATTGTCGGTCAAATGACAACCATCAATATTGTATATGGTTTTACAGTCACTGAAATCAAAGAAGTAATTTTCAGGCCAGAACCAGAGAAGAAGAACAGGTTTATCTTCTGCTGCATCCGTAAGAGAGTCGCTGTCCTGCCCAAAGTAATTGTCTATATATTGTAGTGGTTTAGGCAGAGAAAGTGAGCAGCTGGTTTGATATGAAGATAAGAAATACAGAACTGTGAGAGAAACCAGTCCTGCAAACACCAATAGAGTAACCAGACGAAGCACTGAAACTCCTTTTAAATTTGGGCCGGACATTCTGTGATCTAAAGAGAAGCATTAAAAAATATTTAGTCTTGACAATGAAACACAACAATGTATTTAAATAAATTTGAAAAAGTTGAATCACAAACAAAATAATCTTTCTTACTTTAATCAATTTTAATTTCACTAATGTTAATAAGATTAAATTTTTAATTGTGAAATAGAATTAAAACTCCTCACCCCTTTCAAGAGCCCCTGAGAGATGCTTGCAGTTTTATTTCACGTAAAGCCAGTCTGTCCGACACCAGATGTTAACACTTATATTGAAGGATGTTTGTGAATTTTTGCTTTAAAGTGAACTGGAGCTAAATTTTACTTTGCAGACTTTGAAGGACTGACCAAAAGCTTTCAAGACCAATCACAAGCCATTATGCAAATATTGTCAAATATCCATTGTTTGGATTTAGCCTGAAACCCCTGAACAGGTTAATCAAGATAACAGAATGTTCGGGATGTGCTAAACGCATGAAACTTTTGTTCTGACAATCAATGTCATTCATTCAGTATGTTTAGATGTTTGATTCAAATTAATAATTTTGAAAAGGTGCACTCAGCCTAATCAATTTACTAGAAAGTGATGAGTAAAAAAAAAAAGGCAACAAAAAAGCAGGAAAAGGAGAGGTGACACCGACAGAAATTGTCTCTCAAATAAAGCAAAGATAAAAAGAACAGAATAAATATATGTACATATTTAGTACATATTTAGTACGTTTTGCCTCGACCTAAAGACAGTAACAGGTGAAGTTGAAGCCTTGAATTTAAAGACACCTCAGCGCAATCTGTGAGTGACAATGTTGAAAGTTTATACCCTTTGTGAGCCAGAGAGGGAAGGACCTCATTATCAATATGTGTTGTGTTTTAGACCATGAATTAATTAAATTACTTTAGTTTAGCTTAAATATTTTTATTTGAAAAACATATATGTTTTACAACTAAATCAAAGTAAAGTTGTACTTCGTGCAAAACAGTTTTAATACATGTAATGTTAGCCTATATGCTATTACTAATTCTTTTGTTTTAATAGACCCAGCCAGCATTTTTCAATAGTATCTGGATGAAGCCTTTATGATGCAAGCTGAGACTGCATCACTCAGCGATGCAATCTCAGACACAATGCACTCAATGGAGTGAGTGACGTCACTGTGACGGTAGGGTTAGGTGAGCGCATTAAAAAGCATTGGATGCAGCTCAGATTGCACTGCACCGAGTCTGCATCCAGACCCCTCTCGCATTTTTGGTTTTTAAAAAAATGTTCAATAGACACCTAAACAAGGCTAAATTTGGGCTGGCAGTGAAAATCTAATAGATATCTAAGAATAGTTATCAAATAAACAGAAATGAATGACTACACATATAGGGCTCTATTTTGACGGTCCATGCGCAAAACGGAAAGCGCAGGGCGCAAACACTGTCAGGGCGTGTCAGAATCCATATTTGCTAATTTAAGGAGGGGGAAATCCGCTTTGCGCCGTGGCGCATGGTTTAAAAAGGTTGAGTTTATTTTCTTAATGAGTTATAGGTGTGTTTTGAGAATAAACCAATCAGAGTCTCATCTCCCATTCCCTTTAAAAGCCAGCTGCGTCGCGCTATAAGCGAATTTGCTATTTAAAGTAAGTAGAATTGGAAAAACTGAACATTTCACAAACAAACAGTTAAAAGTTAACAGTTTTTTTTAAACAGAAAACAGTTAAACAGAGCATCTACCGCGCAAGAATGAGACATAATCTATCTACTTTCACTTTCGCTCTTGGATAGGGAAACCTTTACGCACAGACATCATTTAGTCTATAAATAATTAATTTTGTTTGTTAAGCAAAATATTTGTTTCAAAACTATTTCTAAATTCAGTTCTAATTTCCAGCAAACGAATAAATGAACAATAATAGTTAACAGGTTAAAACCAGAAACTATTAATGGTGGATTTTCTGATCTGTGGAAAAGTCTATCTGTGTTTTAAACAGGCTAAAACACCTATGTATGACGCAGTTAGTGAGGTTATGTGGTAGTATAAATGTTACTGATTTGACATTATAAGCAGAGTACTATACGAACTCTTTTGAGTGTTGATACTGACTTCTGCTTGATAAAACTTTCTTTGACTGAATCTCTGACTCCGGCTCTTCTTCATCATCATTATTGGGTTTAAACACCATAGTTTTTTCATTTAATCACAATTTTTTCTTAATGTCTTAATGACCTGTTATCTAATCTCTTCAAAAGGTGAACCTGAGTTTACTGACACCACCCAAGTGTCTCTGAATAGCTGACATTGTTTTCAAAGTTGAAAACAAATTCCTTATTATGGGACTGGATTTGGATCTGTTGATATGTGTATTTGATAAATATGATTATTTAGTTATATACAACTGTAGTTAAAATGTTAATCAGTTCAGTTCTCAGTTCTCAGTTTCCTTTATTTATGTCATTTAACACATCACAACAGAATTGTAATGCAGAATGAAATTACGTTGCAACAGACCCAACAAGAACATAAAAAAAATCACTATACAAACACTATAAAATCCTAACATAATAAATAAGCTCTTATAATTCCATAAAAATATAAAAATGTAATTATATTTGATATAACCTATTTTAAAAAATCTCTGAAGAGAACAACTTAATACTTAAATACGTACTGTACTTCATCATTTGTTGTAATATTAACTATTTATGCTATAGTTTAACAAAATTTATTGTTTAATTATTTAACACTAGCTATCAACAATGTTTAAGTAATGGTATTATTCAAAAGTCTTATAATGACAGGATAAAAACTATCCCGAAGCCGCACTGATTTGCTCCTCAGGCTTGTGTAACACCTGCCTGATGGCATGAGCGTGAGCAGGCTATGACCAAGGTGGGTTGGATCCAGCCTGATCTCACAAGAAAACGCAAGTATTTTACGTTTTGCCAGTTTAGTGTCTAATTCATACGAATTCGTACGATTTCAGTCGTACGAAATGATACGATTTTAAAAAGGAGGCGTGGCACCTAACCCCACCCCTAACCCCAACCGTCATTAGGGGAAAAGCAAATCGTACTAAATTGTACGAATTAGATCGTACGAATTCATAAGAATTAACCACTAAATGAAAAAGTTACGAATTGCCGTGAGATTGCCTAGATAGACAACGTAGTTGATAAAGTTCCTCGATAGATGTCATTTTGACTCCAACAGACCTTTCAGCTTAACTAGTTTGTTATTCCCACATCCTGCCTAAAAGAGCAACTCTGGCACAACTCACACAGAAAAACCCAACAATAACGTAAAAGAGAGCAATGGAAATTCAGCAAAAATCATTACTATAGAGCAGTGGTCACCAAACTTGTTCCTGGAGGGCCGGTGTCCAGCAGATTTTAGCTCCAACCCTAATCAAACACACTTGAACAACCTAATCAAGGTCTTACTAGGTATACTTGCAATTCTAAGGGCCCATGCCGGTTTGGTGTCCCCAGAGTTAATATTAGGGGGCCCAACCAACATCATCCCAACACAACCTTCCCCCCCATCTGCGGCACTTCTCTTCTAGAGAAAATCTTATTTGTTTTATTTCAGGTAGAATAAAAAGTCTATTAAAAAAAAAACATTTTAAGGTTAAAATTATTAGCCCCTTTAAGCTATTTTTTTTCTTTTGATAGACTACAGAACACACCATCGTTATAAAATGACTTAACTAATTACCCCAGTTAACCTAATTAACCCAGGTAAGCCTTTAAATGTAACTTAAAGCTGTATAGAAGTGTCTTGAAAATTATCTAGTCAAATATTATTTACTGTCATCATGGCAAAGATAAAATAAATCAGTTATTAGAAATTAGTTATTAAAACTATTGTGTTTAGAAATGTGTTGAAAAAATTTGCAGTCCGTTAAACAGAAATGGTGGGGGGAAGGGGGGGGGGTAATAATTCTAACTGCATGTTGACCAGTTAGGGTTACGTGCTTCTACATTCTTATCCAACTACTAATTTCCTTTGATTTTGGGAATAATTTACAGTTTAGGGGTAGGGATTATGCATGGGTAATATTGAGAGCTGGCGGACACACCAAGGCCATTAGCACTCATCTGAACAAAAGCTGCGTGTGAACAGATCAAACAGACCGAAATAAGAGTCCACATTCTGTACCTGCATAAGAAGAAAAAATTTGACAAATGTAGTGAAATTTCAGCTGTCTCCTTTGCATTTCTTTTAGACTTGAATTATTTGCTTGGGTACGTCACTTCAGTTTTTGTTCTCACCCTCAGGTTTTTTGATGCATAACCAATCCAATAGTATCTGGATGCAGTCTTTATGATGCAAGCTGAGACTGCATCCTTCAGCGATGCAATGTCAGACACAATGCACTCAAATGGAGCTAGTGACGTCCCTGTGACGGGTATGGTTAGGGGTGGGGTTAGGTGAGCCTATTAAAAAGCATTGGATGCAGCCCAGATTGCACTGCACCAGGTCTGCAGCCAGACCCCTCTCAACCAATCAGAGAGATCTTTTTTTGCTGACGACACCCAGATTTACTTACCTATTAAGAAGAATGACCCTCTCGCACTTAGTACCTTACTAAGGTGCTTAGATGAGATCAAAATCTGGCTGTCCCACAATTTTTTATCATTAAATGAGGATAAAACAGAGGTGATTGTCTTCAGCCCTATATTTATAACGTTCAGGCCTCTTGATCAGGCCTAGATTTGGGCTGCTTATCTGCCTACAGATCGCCCCATGTCCGCAATCTGGGTGTCATCTTTGATGAGTCATTGAAACTTGACAAACAAATCAGTTCGGTTATTGGCTCTAGTTTTTTTTCAATCCCACCACTCTAGAGATGGCTGTGCATGCATTCATTACATCTTGGTTAGACTACTGCAATGCACTTTACTGTGGCATGTCAAAATCCCAGGTTTCTCGCCTTCAGCTGGTCCAAAACGCTGCTGCTAGATTTATTTGTAATTGCAGAAAATATGACCACACTACCCCTCTTCTAAGAAGCCTTCATTGGCTGCCTGTGCAATTCAGAATTGATTTTAAAGTGTTTTTACTGGTTTATAAATCCCTCCATAATCTAGCCCCATCCTATCTCTTAGAGCTGCTTTATCCTTACACTCCTGTGAGATCTCTTAGGTCGAGTGAGCAGAATCTTCGTTCAGATCCACAGTCTGAAACGTAGAGGACAAAGCTTTCTCTGTGGCAGGTCCTCGTTTGTGGAACACCTTGCCCCTTGAGATTAGAATGGCTCCATCA